TTGTTAGACAAATCTCTAAATTCACCCATTTGTTCTTCATATTATTATTGTTCTTAAATAACCTTGTTTCACAAGTCTACAGAAAAAAACAGCTATGAATATTTTATTCAAACCTGGGGACCAACGAAAAACAAAAACTCCTGCGCAGGTCATAGGATTATTTTTATGCTGTTTCTTGAAAGAGAAAGACATATTTTATCAGTTTTTCATCGCTACTTGCCAAGTTTCTCTTGAAATCCATTCAAGTACCGAAGCCTACCACAGAAATGACTATATATATACTGCACCAAAATCTACGCACAGCTACTACACGAGCTCCTGCGAATGCTGTAGGGCTATTTTTAAGTTGGTGCTCGAAAGCTGAGATTTCCACCCTCTAAAATTTTCTAAGCTATTCTTTGCCACCAACATAAGCTTTTCGAAGACATACAAACATCGCAGAAATGTAGGAGCCATTTAAGCACCGTTATACTAGTCGGAAATGCTCAGTTTTATACTAGTTGGAAACGCTTGCTTCGTTTTATTACAGTAAACAATGTGTATATTTATAACAGTGTCTCCAGCCCTATTATTATTGATCATAATAGTACAAAAAACAAACTTAAAAGCATCCGCTGTTGGTGACCAATAATTCTGTATAATATACCAGTGATTATATACTATGTTAAGTAATATAGTGATTTAATAAGTTCATGCTGACATTTAATCTGATAACACAATTAAAACCAACATGTATTTTTCAACACTACAACGTTTTGGTTCTAAAGGTGACTTTAAATGAACCTTTAACATTTTACTGTAAAATACTAAATCTTGTAAGCTATGAGAATTATTGAAATCTAATTTTAAATGTTAATGAACATGTGTATTGTGACCAACTATAATGGTTCACTTGGCAATTATATATAGGGAGGATTTGTATTGTAACAAGCTGAAACTTTTTAAAAATATATCAGTTCATTTTTACACGTTAATTTAAGCGTTGAATTTAGAAACAAAGTTTCACATTCAATATCCACAAGTTCATCCACCAGACATCTAACTAGTTACCGAGATGTTTTACTATAATGATTACGATTCCAGTAATTATATCCATCCACTTATTACAAAACTGAATGTATTTAAGAACGCGTATTAATCAAGCCATCATACAAAAATCTCACAAATGATTTGCTTTATCACAAATTTCAGAAGAATACAGTACAAAAATGCATCTGGTTAGTAAGTATAGTCAACAGCTTCTTCTCTATTAATACAAATCTTTGGAGAAAAATCATCGGCTACTGGCAAACCACAAAATACAAGGTAAAAATATAAGCAAAATCATTTTTACTCTCTAAAAATACCATATAATAAGAGGTATTTCTGGTGAAATAAAAATGAATACAATAATATATATATAAAAAAACGAATATACACATCTATATAATACCTGTGGTATTTCCTTTACTACCATTCAATCAGTTAACAATGACTTTTTTTTTTCCACATTACAAAAATTATTATAATGGCAAACAACACTCGTATTTTAATGATTCAAGGTTCAACATGATTGTAAACAACAAGTTATGTGGAATAACACAGCGAAGTTACTTCTCTGTGTGTCAAGTCAAACATGAAATAAACGATTCACTTTACGAACTATACAAACACTGAAATTTCCTAATAACTTGAGTTTTCTCACGCTAATATAAAAATTTCGATTAAAAATCTGTTAGTTTCGGGTTAAAAAAGGCAGCGCTGTTCTAACCTGGAACAAATAGATAATAGCATTGAAGAAATGCAAACAAAGGAGAAATACAGTTGCTGTGAGGAAAATTAAGGACTTAACACTTTAATTCACGACCTAAATATCCATTATATTTACAGACTAAGACCCACATCCTTACTCTTACTGTTAATTTATGACTCATAGTTTTTCAATATCATTTCTCAAAGAGGGAAGTTTCTGTCCAGTTTTAGACAAAACCATATCTATGAAAGCAAAGAAGCAAAATACTTCAAACCCCAGGTTGTGTTATAAACCAAGTAAAAATGTGTTTATGGAGAAATGTAGGATATATGCTAATGTTTTTTGGAAACTTAAAAGAGAAGTCGATTAAAACATGAATCTAGAGAGAAAACATGAAAGCTTCACATTCACTATATCATCAAATCATAATTTTCAACCTTCAAATGGTGCAAAGTTAAGAATCACATTCTGCAAACACATATTTTAACACACACACTAACACCTGAAACAGTAATATAGATCTAAAATTTACTTAACAAGTTTTACATATAATGAACCATAGTGCTGTTAACTAAAACATTCCTGCTAATGCTTCCTTTAAAGTTATGAGGTTATTTTACTGCACATATATAAGTCCATAATATTTTGCTAATTTTATTCATGAGGGAGAAGTCTTGAGCACCATTTTTTTTTAACATAGATCTTAATGCTTTGGTTGATTACTTAGTTTATAATAATCATGTTTATTTCAACACTTTAGTTTTACGAGAAACACAAAACACTATCTTGATCTAAATGCTAAATCTCCAAAAATAAATAGTATACTGTTATTTATTTGGTTTCAGTTAGCTATAAAAGGAACAAATGACTGTATTAGTATAAAAAACAGTAGATCTTTATTAGTGTCCACAATAACAAAAAATAAATAGCACTATATTATTTACTTTTGATTATTGTGGACACTAATAAAGATTTTGTTTTGATTTTTTTTTTATATTAATACAGTCATTTGTTCTTTTTATAGCTAAAAGAAACAAACAAACATAAATGTCAAAGTTGTTTTTTGAAAATTTTAAAAGTATATTTCAGGTTTAAAAGAAATATTAAAGCTGACATCATCAATACAAGAATAATCACTTTTAGAAACTATTACTGATCACCAAAAAAAAAATCTATATTATGAGAATAACTGCAAATACAAATAAAAATGCTTGAATTATAAATAACTGTAAACTGACTTACTGAATTACCCTGTTTAAATAAACAGAGCTGGTATTGTAATTAAACAAACGAAAACTTGTGACTAAGCTATGAACCTCAATTGTTTCTCTCTGTTTAATACAACTGTATGGCTATAAACTTTAAGTTATAAGTACAAATATTAATTTCTGTTGTGAGAAAGTTCTTTAAATGCAGTGTCAGTAATTATATTCATATAATTTAAAATATGAACTAACATTTTCCTTTCATTTTCTGATATCAGCTGCAACCAGTCTTACATTCAAAGTACTGACTGGTTCTTCAAACTGAATGATAAAAATTACAACAGACCCACATTCTTTTTTAAATTTCTTTAAATCTCACAGTAAAATTTCTACTTCTTAAGTAATGATAATATCAGGGTTCAAACTTTTAATGTTGTGATATCTTCACTGATTTTACAAGCTGTATTAGGTAATTAGAACTTGAAGAGAACAACTTCCAAATTATTATATATCTAATAGCACGAGATAGCTTTAAAAATTTTGGCCATTATGATATAACAGTATTTTAGAGGTTAACCTGACTAATTACTAGCTCATCAATTTAAACTTACAATAAATCCAAATATTTGACATTTTAATAATAGTGTGTGCATATAGATGAACAAAGGAATAAATACATTACACTTCATTATACAGAGAATCACACAAACCAAAATACTGAATGTTCATATAACACCTGAAATCCATTGTTTCCTTTGTAAACATCTGCTGCTTACAAAATTAAAACTTGTATGCTTCTTTTCTTGCAAGACCTTGTTAGGTAAGCTAGCTTAAAATATTTACGTGTCAATATTAAACCATTTGTTTGAACAGCTTGTTGCAAAACTTTCCAAACACCATTTCTGCCCACATAATTGATGTTACTTTCTTGTAAGATGCAAAACTTATGAACATATAGACAAATAATAGTGTACTTACGTAAGTGTTTTCTTTTTTGGTGTGGTGAAAATTAGTGATGTCATGAAAACCTTCAGCAAGTTCAGTAAAGTAATGTCAAGAACAGCAAAAATATTGCACAATAATTTTGAAAGTAAACCACCTACCAGTTCTAAAAATATAAATTTAACACATTTTCCATAACTTTTTAATAAGGGTGAAATAAAAACCTCAAAAAATTTGGCTGAGCAATTTGATGATGACTTAGAATCTAAAACAAAAAAAAAAACTGAAAATTTGCATACTTTAGAATTTGAAATTATGACTAGAACTTTTTTTAGCAAAAGAATGTTGAGAAAAGTGTGAAAACAGCTTTATGCCTTGTAATATTAGTTGTGGTTTATGTTTAAAGAATACTTTTGTTTTTCAGAATGCATTACAGAATCCAACTCCAACAGAAAAATCCTAAACAGGCTTTAGTGCATGATTTTACCAATAAATACAATATGATCTTGATGAATAGTCACCTATTTGCACCATAGATCAATACCGATGTTTTCTTCCAATGTATTTTTTATATATAAACTTAAAATGCACTAAATTAATTTCCAAAAACACTACATCAGATGGATGTGAATGATAATATACAATGAAGAGAATGACCTGTTCAGAATAAAAATGCACCTTTCTTCTAAGATTCTGTAATCCAATACGGAACCATTCATACTCTTTTACAGTAAATAATAATAAAAATAAAATACAGAAGGCTGTTCAAAAACAAATTTAGTTATGTTACATATTGGGAGTTCTACTTATATTCCACAGGGCATTATTTACCTCCGAATGTTAGAAATGGCCAAGTTAAATTACAAATGTATAGTTTCCACTGAAGTATTATAATCACTCTTCCAATAGGTTATAACAACAAAAAATAAGAATTAGGAACAGCACATGTCTGGATACTCATATAATGAGCTTCTCGAAAATAAGAAAATAAATTATTGTAGTATTCAAAACACCCTTCATTAGCTCAGTGGTAAATTTGAGGGATTATAGGATAAAAATCAGGGGTCAATACAATATCTGCAATGAGCATAGTGCTGATAGCCCATTCTGTAGCTTTGTGCTTTAAAAAAATCTCTGGAAGTTATGTAATGAGGACAGGTTCTAACTGTTGGTTGATAACTGTAGTATTTAACTCGTATATTAAAAAGTGATTGTTAATACACGTTTTTGCTTTTAAGTCATATACATTTAATTGCATGTTCCAGTAAATCCAATATAAAGCCCTAAATATAAAAATTTTTCTTTACGTTAGAACTGTTGCATATGCTTAAACAGTACAACATTTTCATTGATAAATATAGTTAGCATTTTAGATTTCTTCAGAATAATTTAAAGTATTTGCAATACAAAAGTTTAAATGAATTTTCAATTTTAAAAACTGTATTTATAAAATATAATTTGTGATATTTTGTTTGTGTTTGGAAAGTTTTTCAATAAACCGAACTGTATAAGATTATACACATAAATATAAAATTGCTGCAACTCTTTTCAATTAAAGCTTTCATTTACTGTTGCTATATTAAAACATTAAAAACATTGAATGAAATACAAAAATTAAATAATTTAGCAAGATAAATACTGCATATTCTGGAAGTAATATTGTCAATACTTACTTACAAAATAAATCTGCATAACTATTTACAAAACAACATACTATCCAGGTATTAGGAGTGGACAATTAACTAGTATCTTAGATCTAGGTAGATCTGACAATTAAAAAGTCCTTTGAAAATTAATTAATTCATTTGGATTTCATTCTTACAATCAGGTGTTTCCAAAATAGTGTAGTAAAATACTATATAGTTATTTTAATTATGAAAGTAAAAGGTCCTTTTATCTTGTTTAAAGTTGAAAGATTTCACAGATCAGAACATAAAATGCTGTAGATGCTGGTTTTTTAATTATGTTATATATTATAGAAAATACAAATTACCTAATAAAATATTCTATCTATAGTTCTAAAAACTATGATTTTTCATTATAGTAAGTGTTTTTTCCATTTCTTTAATTTGAGTGGGTTTCTTTTTTTTTTTTTTAATTAAGATAATGTATTAAAACATTAGACTTAATTTCTTTACTGGGTAAATAGACATAAGTAAACAGAATATCATATATACACACCCAATTACAATAAATTTAAAAATGTATTATACATTATACCATAATAATTGGAAGTTACAAGTTAGTTAAATTTGTAACAATAGTTGTTGAAGTAAAAACAGCTCACTCTTAACTGTCCACCACGTAAAAACAGCTCACTCTTAACTGTCCACCACGTAAAAACAGCTCACTCTTAACTGTCCACCACGTAAAAACAGCTCACTCTTAACTGTCCACCACGTAAAACAAGCTCACTCTTAACTGTCCACCACAGAAATCAATCCCAGAATGGTATTTATTTCAACATATTAACTTTCAAACTGTAAATGAAAGTTGAAGATACATTTTCACCTAATAAAACCATTACCTTCATGTAGGTTTTCTTTTCAGATATAGATAACTCTGTTATACTTATAAATCCAAATCATGTGTTGAATTTAGGTTTGCTTCAAAGTGCAACAATACAAGATGCACAAGAATAGGTGAAAATATTTTTTGTACCAAGTCAGTCACTGTAATGTTCAATAAGAGCAATCTTTCTATCTGAACTAAATTTTAAAATGTCATTTTTCATTTATGATGCTTAATCCACCACGTGACATTACTTTAAATACATCTTATGTTTATTACAGCAATTCGCTACTATGTAAATTAACATGTCCAAAAGTACTTAACATATTTAAAAAAAATTATGTTAATTAACAACATCAGACCAAGCAATTGTCCACCCCTTTATATATCAAAGTCTATGAAGAAAGAGAAGTGAATTAGGTAACAATTTCATGTTTCAAACAGAAGTTATCTTGAATGTAGCAGAAACCTGATAAGTATTGTATTAACATAAGAACAAATGTCTGATAAAGAGAGATAAAACACACCTCCACATTATGACGATACATTTATATTTTTACTTTGAAATCAGTACTTTTGTGTCATTTATATACAAAAAAATCTAACAATGAAAAATTTCATGAAAAAAACAGAAAAAATCAAGACCACCTGTAATTTAGCATGCAAGATTATCACAGGTTAAAAACTTAAAACACTATGTTGGAGTAATGTACCTTTTTTTGTGTATACTTTTAATTTAGAGAAATATCAAACAGTTTCAAAACAGGTGCATTATTACTATTTACTGAATATTTATTACAATATTGTTCAAATCAGTTTGGCTTAATACTAAGTAGCCAAGGATACCAATGAGTCAAAAATTAATTATATTTTTTTTTGTGATTTTCACAGTTATCTTGATGTTCTTGGCTCAAATACATAAAAAATACTAAAACCCTAATCTAATAAAAAGCTTAAAAAAACAGTAAAATCCAGACCAAAATCATTCTTAAACTACTTTTCTTATAGAGTAAGATCTCACCATAATTACCTTAGGTGTAAAGTTAAATTTGCCTGCCATGCAATTTGCATATGAACTTGACTACGTTGTCCTAAAACAAAACAATAAAATAATATGATCTGCAATGATATATTATATAGCTTCCGAGTAGTTCTATTACCAAAGAGGAAATAAATGTTTTTTATTCAACATACATTAAGAAAAGTTCAGTCTGCTGGATAGGTGTGTTCATGGACAGTAGCATATATGCCATAGAATAGAGTGAGACCAGTCAAAATCACTCCATCTTTAAGAAATGTAACTGCAAACACGTTATCTTTCAAGTTATGTATTCTACTGATGAGATGAAAGTATGAACTTTTTTTACTATTTTCTGATATATTTAGGTAAGTTTAAGGCCTATGAGTGACCAAGGTCAGGCACGATTTTTGGACCTTAGTTCCATTACATTACTTCTACCAGGTCGAGCAGGAGCATACAAATTTTCTTCTATATGACTACCAGGGACATTAGGATGGAGCTGATTTCTTTCTCTTCTGTTGTAGTGGCCCCTTCCCTCTCCATAACCCCAGGAAGGTCCAGAAATGGAAGGTGGGGCTGATGGACTTGGCCCTGAATAAGGAGGTGGAGGATCACTGGGAGGAGCTTGTTGAATAGGCTGAGACTGGGATACTGAATGTCCTTGTACACCTCTTCCTTGTTGATGAGCTGCTCGATGTCTCTGAGACTGATAAAACAAAGATACAGAGTTAACTAAACAATATGATACAAATACATAGAGTTACTTACTATATTAAATTCTATACATATAAAAAAAAATCAATCAATACATGCATCTCATTTTCTAAAAACCATTAATAAATAATCTGAAATTCAGAAGGTAAAATACTTTTTGTTGACTATGGTTATGATAAAAAAAAACAATGGAGTTTATGTCGTTAAAACAAAGAAATTTTGTTTTTAATGCAAAGCTACACAATCTATCTGCATTGTGCCCATCATGGGTACCAAATTCTATTTTAAGTAAGCTCTCAAGCTTACTGCTGAGCCACAGAGGAGCAAGACATAAATAATTTGTGAGGAGGACTCAACAGTTTGACATGATTCAACACTAAATTACAGCACTGTTAATTCACCTTAATTGCAAAAAACTGAATTTGTATAAATGATTGTTTCTGTGTTTGAAATTTGAAGCAAGTTAGAGAATACATTTACCACAATAATATCTTACTTGTTGACAGCAGTACATGCACAAAACGAGTTGGGTTTCTTAACTTTTTTCTGTAAAATAATCTTTTTAAGTCTTCTCAAGAGTTATCAAGTCTTATGAAACTTCATATCTCACATAAGATTATAATGGTATACAGAAGTTAGGTATGCTATACTAAACTGATTATGGAACCTCACCACATCCTTACAGTCAATGTTGCCACCTTTGGTCATACACTATCTGACAACCATACATTTGTAAAATATCCCTGCAGTGTACTTTACATTGCAAAAGGTTAAAATCTTAAGGCTGTCATATCAAAAGCACACATCTCTTCCCTGCTGGGTTTCCATAATCCATCTAACGTATGAAAACAATAGTTTCCCAATGCCTGTTTGAACAGTTTGATCACACACAAGTCTATAGATACTGAATCTGCTGACTTGACCAGAATGTCTTCATATGGAATAGCACGATTACTCATTTCATTTTCCAGCTGCTTGAGATCTGTGATGGTCGAACAAATAAGTCATAGAAGCTTTTTCAGATGGGGATTCTTGTTGATTATGTTGTGTACTGTTGCCTGGCTCAATTGCCATTTTTTTGGGTTCTCATATGTTTCAAGATTCCATTCTTTGCTTACCTTGGGTAGGGTATAACATGTTGCTGGTATGTGTATGCTTCTGGGTGGTCCTGGGCTGGTTCCCAAACTGATCCATATTCCTTTGTTTTTCAATGCCATTAAGTACAAGGAATATCCCCTTCTTGGCAATTCTAAATCCCCAATCTGAACAACTTTTTATTATCTAAATGTATGAATACTGTGTCAGAAAGATATTTAACATACCTTTCTCAAAAAAGTAATTAATTTTCTGTAGCTTCTCAATAATAACAAATGCCAAACACTGTCAAAATGTAGTTCTGATACACGCTTTATATTAGCTGTAGCTGTCACATGACTTGCTGATTTAGATATTCATAATAATTATATTTTAACATTCTCAACTTTCTTTACATCAATGGTAATTATTCAGTGTTTTTTCAGATAATAAATGTTATCAAATACTTTTTGAATCTGTAAAAGTAAGAACATGAAGCATTTTTTTGTTTTTGGTTCAACTACAGAAAATCATTACTGTTAGTTCATGCCCATTTTGTTCTCATAAATATGTTTACAAGTACATTTATTTGAATTACATGAATGAATCAGACAGATTCTAAGTGGCAGAAGGATGCTGTACATCTATAGCTGAAGGAAATATTGCAGATGGTGCATTCCTTAAATATTCTCTAGTTTCTTTATTTTCTGAAAAAGTGAAACTATGACAGAAGATAATACAAACCCACATTCACACTTGCTGGCCAAGTGCACCAAATACTTAGGCTATTGTATCAAGTTAATTATGCAAACTTTGGTATTTACTTCTATTTCTTTGGTTTTGTTAGAACAAACATTTGCCAGACAACCTATGCTGAATGATCTTGGAAGCTTAAATCTAATCATCATGACATCTTAGTAAATGGCAACAACTGAATTCTGGAATTTAACCTATATTTGGTATAAATGCCAATTTCTATTATTATCACACTGATAAAGTGTTTGTTTGTTTGTAAGTAAGCACAAAGCTACTCAATGGGCTATCTATGCTCTGCCCACCACGGGTATCGAAACCCGGATTCTAGCATTGTAAGTCCGCAGACATACCGCTGTGCCACTGGGGGGCCACTAATAAAGTGAAGGCTAGTATTTACAGCATTCAAAACTAATAACACTGTGACTACATTTCTTATGATTCTTTAAAATGACAATTATCTTATTATCATTTTCTCACTCTCAGGTTGTTCTTAAAAATAATAATAAGACATATATCAAGTTTGGTCTGCTAAATACTAAACACTAAGTTTAGCTAGTAAAAGATTTTTTTACCTTTCTTCTTAGAGTGTCTGCTGGCCTCCTTAGAGTGTCTGTAATACGAAGGGCAGGAGGTTTTCTGGGATTACTACTTGGTGTGTGAACAGCACAACACTTGATAAACAGACCCATAAAGATAGCTAATCCAATCAATATCATCATGACACCCCACCAATATGTCTGCAAGATAGGATAAAGAAATACAACTGAAAAGTGAAAAATGCATTAACTTAAAAAAACAAAAAAAAAGACTTTGTTAAATCAATAAATTTACTAACTAGGTCTACAAATGTTTCAACATCATACACAGTTGGAACAATAAAACCAAGTCAAAAGAAAAAAAATCAAATAAAC